TAGATTGGGGTGGGGTTGCAAGCCCACCCCACCCTTAGGAATATTGCCAATATGGAGTATTTCTACCAATTTGAAGCCTATTTCAAGCTCTTCTAGTCTGAAACTGTCACAAAACATCTCCATTTTACTGGTATATTTTCCATTCCATCAAAACTATGAAAACCAGCATAAAACATGTCTTGGTTACTTTTTAACCCAAACTTAAGGTGAGAGGTTAGCTGCTCCCATCATGCACTGTATGGGGCAGGAGCCTTTTTTTTTATATACTGTGCATACCCTCTGCACAGACCCATTCTCTCATGTCTAGGCCAATATTTACTGATCACAGCATAATTGAGGGCACTGTGATTGAGGCATAGATCTGTGATATAGTCAAAGGATTAAACATTATGGCTAGGAGTATACTGGTAAGTAGTTTATGATTTGAATATTATGCAGAGATTTAAGGGCAAAATTTAAAAAATGTGGGAAGAATAAAAAGGCACAATGCTGTGATGGAACAATACACAGATCTTCTTTCTTTCTTTCAACACACCGGCCGTATCCCACCAAGACAGGGTGGCCCAAAAAGAAAAACGAAAGTTTCTCTTTTAAATTTAGTAATTTATACGGGAGAAGGGGTTACTAGCCCCTTGCTCCCGGCATTTTAGTCGTCTCTTACAACACGCATGGCTTACAGAGGAAGAATTCTGTTCCACTTCCCCATGGAGATAAGAGGAAATAAATAAGAACAAGAACTAGAAAGAAAATAGAAGAATACCCAGAGGGGTGTGTATATATATGCTTGTACATGTATGTGTAGTGTGACCTAAGTGCAAGTAGAAGTAGCAAGACATATCTGAAATTTTGCATGTTTATGAGACAGACAAAAGACACCAGCAATCCTACCATCATGTAAAACAATTACAGGTTTTCGTTTTACACTCACTTGGCAGGACGGTAGTACCTCCCTGGGTGGTTGCAATACACAGATAATTCATTCCAACTTTGAATTGTGATTTCTGCATACTGCTAGCAAGACATATTGAATGACTGATGATGAATGCATAGTTTATCTTTTTTTATAATCCTATCTTAATGATAGATGGTGTGGTTAAGTAAAAAAAAAATTTTAGGGCTGAAGATGCATTTATCTTGGTACACTGTTTTGTAGGAGGCAGTGGCTGTCTTGACATTCTAAGTACTAGCTAATTTACCAAAAATTTAAGATCTACTCAATCCTGCCTAATTTAAAATGGCTGAGAATGGTTTCAACTCGCTTTATTCCAAATTTCCACTGATAAGCTTTGTAGTGGAAATGTGCCATTTGGTAAATGTCTTTAGGTTATACTGTACTAGCTGGACCAGTGTATCTCCTGATTAAGTATGGGTAATTTTTGTTTTGTGTTGGGTAAATTTTTGTTCTGTAATGTCGAGTATACTACAGCTTCTCACTTGATGACAGAGTTTCGTTCCTGAGACCATGTTGTTAAATGAATTCATCGCTAAGTGAGGAGCATACTATAATGGTAGTAAGTTTGTGTCATCCATCTTCGATGTTGTTTTAATGTCACCTTTGCACCATTTATAACATTACTGGTATATTTTTAAATATTTATACAGTAGTGTACTGTATATTGAAATAAACAGAATAGAGGAAATCAGCTGTAATATACTTTATTTAGGTATGAATACTGGTCAAAGAGCCTGTCATAAGTCCGAGGCGTAGGTAAATGAGTACATCGATAAATGAGGAGAGGCTGTATTCTTAACCCTTTCATTCTTGGGACCCCTGATTCTAAACTCTCACACTTTGTCAAAAAATATTAAAAAAAAAAAAAAAAAAAATTCTTACCAAACCCTTAAGAATATTTTTGTGAGTGTTTTAAAAAAAAAATTTTGATCAGAACTTACCGAGATATAGAGGCGTGAAGTTGACAGAAAGTGAACTGCTTATGGCTATATCGCCGACTGCCGCTCACTCAGTAATTTTTTTTTACTTTTGTTGTATTTTTTCTTTTATTTTTTAATATTTTAGTTTTTGAAGTAACTTTCGTGGCATGTGAGACCAATATAATGTGTAATGTATATATATCCACTCATTGTATGCAACATAATAACTGCACAAATAGTATTGGAAGGTTGTTGTGTGTGTGTGGCTTTTGTTGAGGGTGCTGAGTAACATGGTTGGTGTTACAATGACGCATTATGAAATCACCACCACCCATTACCCACACTGTCTTCCCCATCACCCACATGGAAATACAGTGGAACTCCGGTTTTTGTATGGCCCGCATATCGTACAATTTGGATTTAGAACACTTTTTTGGGCGAAATTTTGTTCCAGATTTCGTACCTCAGTCTGGAAATCATACGTATCATACGCGTTCGCCTGCCCAGGACGCCATCAGTCTGGCTCTGTCACTGGTTGAGTGAGCATTCATCTGAAACATTTCACAATTTTTGTCCTTGTTTATTGATTGCGACTGCGAAATAAGCCACTATGGGCCCAAAGAAAGTTCCTAGTGCCAGCCCTATGGTAAAGGTGAGAAACATGATAAAATTCAAGAAAGAGATTGTAGAAAAATAAGAAAGTGGCATACGTTGTAGAAAAATAAGAAAGTGGCATACGTTTAGCTGAGCTTGCCAGGATATATGGGAAGTCGAGAAGGATTTTGAAGGGTTTGAGGCTGACCCTGTTGCCCCTATGCCTGTTGTGGAATGTATTGTGTCTTTGGGAAAGTCCATGGGGTTGAATGCGAGTGGCCAGGATGTGAAAGAGTTGGTGGAGGACCACAGGGAAGAGCTAACCACTGAACAGCTGAGGAGGGGGAAGAGAGAGGGAAGAAGGTGTCTTCTTCTTCAGTGATTAAGGGCATGTGTGCAAAGTGGAATGAGTTGCAAACTTTTGTTGAAAGATATCACCCTGACAAAGCTGATATAAGCTGTATATGCAACATGTTCAGTGACAATACCTTGTCCCATTTTAGGCAGAAACAGAGCTCTCTGGACAGATTTTTAGTGTGATAGGGGTTCAGTGCCAGTAAAAAAAACAAAGGGAAGTAACCCCAGAGAGGGCTTTGATACCTGAAGTCCTTATGGTTAGTAGTAATCTAAAACCAAGACAACAGTGCATTAATGTTTGCAATCAAGCTAACAGAATCCTTGGCATCATAGCAAGAAGTATAAATAATAGGGGTCCTCAGGTTGTTCTTCAGCTGTGTATATCTTTGGTTAGGCCTGATTTAGATTATGCTGCGCAGTTTTGGTCACCGTTTTACAGAATGGATATAAATGCACTGGAAAATGTGCAAAGGAGGATGAGAAAGTTGATCCCATGTATCAGAAATCTTCCCTATGAGGATAGACTGAGGGCCCTGAACCTGCACCCTCTAGAAAGGTGTAGAATTAGGGGGGATGTGATAGGGATGTATAAATGGAAAACAGGAATTAATAAAGGGGATGTAATTAGCGTGCTAAAAATATCTAACAGACAGGACTCACAGCAATGGCTTTAAATTGGAAAATTTCAGATTCAGGAAGGATATAGGAAAGCACTGGTTTGGTAATCAAGTTGTGGATGAGTGGAACAAACTCCCGAGTACCGTCATAGACGCTAAGACGTTGTGTAGTTTTAAAAATAGGTTGGATAAATACATGAGTGAGTGTGGGTGGGTGAGAGTTGGTCCTGACTAGCTTGTGCTACTAGGTCGGATGCACTGATCCTCCCTTAAGTGATGTGTCTGACCTCACTAGGTCAAGGCATTGGCTTAAGCCGGTACGAGAATTGGAGCTGCCTCGCATAGGCCAGTAGCCCTGTTGCAGTGTTCCTTCTTTCTTATGTTCTTATAACCTCAACTTCCTCTCCCCTCCTCGCCTTCTTCAATACGCCAACAAGAATCTTCAATAAAGGTATGTAATGTTCGTTTATCATTAAAATTAGTTATTTATATTTATTTCTCATTGTTTTCTGTGTGTAAGACTATATTCTTTTAAAAATGTATTTTTTGTTAATAATTTTGGGTGTCTGGAATGGATTAATTGTATTTACTTTATTTCTTATAGGAGATATTAATTCAGTTTTCGTACGTTTCGGTTTTAGACCGTCCTTCTGGAACGGATTAAGTACGAAAACCGGAGTTCCACGATAAGTCACTTTGACTTTTTTAGGTTCTTCCTTCCTTCCTTCCTTCCTTCCTTCCTTCCTTCCTTCCTTCCTTCCTTCCTTCCTTCCTTCCTTCCTTCCTTCCTTTCTTTCTTTCTTTCTTTTCTTTTCTTTTCTTTGTGTCTTTCTGTCTGACTGTCTTCCCTTTCTTCCCTTCTTTCTTCCCTTCTTTCTTCCCTTCTTTCCTCCCTTCTTTCTTCCCTTCTTTCTTCCCTTCTTTCTTCCCTTCTTTCTTCCCTTCTTCCCTTCTTTCTTCCCTTCTTCCTTCCCTTCGTCCTTCCTTCCTTCCCTGCTTCCTACCTTTCTTTCTTCCTTTCTTCCTTCTGGTTTCCTGGGCATTGCTTTTGGTCACAAACTCCTCAAAAACCATGAAATTCATTTTCACTGACACTTCCATCTGTGTTAGAACTGTCACTTGGGTGAAGAAGAGTCCCAGTTCGCTGGGAAGTGAGGCATTTCTTACTGCGAGGCATGGTAAACAAGGTACACTGAAATGGCATTCCCACAATGCACCACTGGCTCCACTATTTTTTTTATGCTGTGCACACTGACCACGCAGACCCATTCCACTCGCATGCAGGCCTACCAACTTTCTCCCGCTATATTTGAAGCCACTAGAATTTTGGTGTAGTATTACAGGACCAACACTGGCTCTCACACTTACACCGTAATATTACAGGACTGACAGTGAAAGGGTTAAGCTTGATAAACTTCTTGCAATTTCCTCTTTTCAATATATGGTTTATATTTTTTATCTAATCTCTGGATATAAAATTAGTTTATATCTTGTATTGGGGAAAAAAAAAGAATTATAATAGTTATGTTACTCATGTCTAAATATAACTATACTCTTCAGGATGAAGGTGGTGACATGTCTATTGGGAAGACATGTTTTGGAGTCTTAAAAGATGACAGAAAAGCACTTAAGGAGGAGCTTCAGTATATTAAGAAAGAACTCATGGTATGTAACTTTGTAGTTTTGTGATACAGGTAATATACCGGTGCATCACAGGTTCCCATGGTACCTTCTATAGGGACAGAAAGAGTAATACCAAGACCAGATTTAAACGAAAGCTAAGTGGGTTACAGTTATGGGCTTCAGTGTGAGGTGGCCCTGTCTCTAAGGAAGAACGTAAGAGCATAAGAAAGAAGGAACTCTGCAACAGGCCTACTGACCCATGCAGAGCAGGTCCATGCCCCCCCCCCAGATTAGACCAATGACCCACCCCCCAGATTAGACCAATGATTGGTTGATACACTTAAAAGAAAGTTTTAATAGTTGTATATTTTGTTTCTTATATGGTAAATAATAACCTAAGATGTTATTATATGGGATGTCTCAAGAATCATAATGACACGATTGCAAACGAACCATACCCCCGGCCGGGATTGAACCCGCGGTCATAGAGTCTCAAAACTCCAGCCCGTCGCGTTAGCCACTAGACCAGCTAGCCACAATAAGATTCATCCAACTAGGTATAATATACCTAGACCAGCTAGCCACAATAAGATTCATCCAACTAGGTATAATATACCTAGTTGGATGAATCTTATTGTGGTTAGCTGGTCTAGTGGCTAACGCGACGGGCTGGAGTTTTGAGACTCTATGACCGCGGGTTCAATCCCGGCCGGGGGTATGGTTTATATGGGATGTGTTGAGTCCTGGAGGTGGGAAGTACAATGCTTGCACTTTGAAGGATGGGTTTAGGATATTGGCTGTTTGGGGTGGCATCTAAACTGTTGTATCTGGGTGCCTCTGCAAAGACTGATTGTGTGAATGATGGTGAAAGTGTTTTTTTTTTTTTTTTTTTTTTTTTTTTTTTTTTTTTTTTTTTTTTTGGTCACCCTGCCTCGTTGGGAGACGATTGATGTGTTGAAAGAAGAAAAGTGTTAGGTTTGATATAGCTTTAGACTTCAGCATACCAAATCCTTGTTTAAATTATTATAATAGGAAAGCACTAAACATATATGGGCTATAGAGCACCTGGGGAATTGGGGATTATTAAGTTTTATTTTAGGAATGCTGCCTTTCACCAGCATCAAATCACCCATAAGTGGACCTCTAGACTGTTTTGGTGTTGTCTTTCCCAATACTTATGTAATAGAGGGAAGAGATACTAGATAAATTATATACTTTTTTTTTTTCTTTCAACAAGTGGGCCGTCTCCCACCGAGGCAGGGTGACCCACAAAGAAAGAAAAATCCCCAAAAACAAGTTACTTTCATCATCATTCAACTCTTACACCCCACTCACACATAATCACTGTTTTTGCAGAGGTGCTCAGAACACAACAGCTTAGAAGCATATATGTATAAAGATACACAACATATCCCTCCAAACTGCCAATATCCCAAACCCCTCCTTTAGAGTGCATTGTACTTCCCATTTCCAGGACTGAAGTCCAGCTATATAAAAATAACCGGTTTCCCTGAATCCCTTCACTAAATATTACCCTGCTCACACTCCAACAGATCGTCAGGTCCCAAATACCATTCATCTCATTCACTCCTATCGAACACGCTCATGCACGCCTGCTGGAAGTTCAAGCCCCTCGCCCACAAAACCTCCCTTACCCCTTCCTTCCAACCTTTTCGAGGACGACCCCTACCCCGCCTTCCTTCCCCTACAGATTTAATGCTCTCCATGTCATTCTACTTTGATCCATTCTCTCTAAATGACCAAACCACCTCAACAACCCCTCTTCAGCCCTCTGACTAATACTTTTATTAACTCCACACCTTCTCCTAATTTCCACATTCCGAATTTTCTGCATAATATTTACACCACACATTGCCCTTAGACAGGACATCTCCACTGCCTCCAACCTCCTCCTCGCTGCTGCATTCACAACCCAAGCTTCACACCCATATAAGAGTGTTGGTACTACTATACTTTCATACATTCCCTTCTTTGCCTCCATAGATAACATTTTTTGACTCCACATATACCTCAACGCACCACTCACCTTTTTTCGTTTATCAGTTCTATGATTAACCTCATCCTACATAAATCCATCTGCCGACATGTCAACTCCCAAGTATCTGAAAACATTCACTTCTTCCATACTCCTCCCCAATTTGATATCCAATTTTTCTTTATCTAAATTATTTGATACCCTCATCACCTTACTCTTTTCTATGTTCACTTTCAACTTTCTACCTTTACACACACTCCCAAACTCATCCACTAACCTTTGCAATTTTTCTTTAGAATCTCCCATAAGCACAGTATCATCAGCAAAAATCTACTGTGTCAATTCTCATTTTGTATTTGATTCCCCGTAATTTAATCCCACCCCTCTCCCGAGCACCCTAGCATTTACTTCTTTTACAACCCCATCTTTAAATATATTAAACAACCATGGTGACATTACACATACCTGTCTAAGACCTACTTTTACTGGGAAGTAGTCTCCCTCTCTTCTACACACCCTAACCTGAGCCTCACTATCCTCATAAAAACTCTTTACAGCATTTAGTAACTCACCACCTATTCCATATACTTGCAATATCTGCCACATTGCTCCCCTATCCACTCTATCATATGCCTTTTCTAAATCCATAAATGCAATAAAAACTTCCCTACCTTTATCTAAATATTGTTGAAAAAAAAAAAAAAAAAAAAAAAAAAAATATATGCTTCAATGTAAACACTTGATCTACACATCCCCTACCCTCTCTGAAACATCCTTTGCTCATCCGCAATCCTACATTCTGTCTTAATAAAGTACTGAGGGTGTCGAACCAGGTAAGAACCAGAAATAATGGATTTAAGTTGGATAAATTTAGATTTAGAAAGGACATAGGTAAGTACTGGTTTTCTAAAAGAGTTGTAGATGCGTGGAACAGTCTTCCCAGTGGGGTGATAGAGGCTAGGTCCTTGGGTAGCTTTAAGAAGAGAATGGACAAATATATGAGTGGGAGGGGCAGGGTTTGATTGGTGTCATTGGGTACGGGAGTTATTTCTTGGGTAGCTTAAGGTAGAGGTCGTTTTGATGACCTGCCTCGCATGGGCCAGTAGGCCTTCTGCAATGTTCCTCCATTCTTATGTTCTTACCTCTAATTCCTTCAGTTATAAGCCGACCGTACACTTTTCCTAGTATACTCAGTAAACTTATTCCTCTATAATTTTTACAATCTCTTTTGTCCCCCTTCCCTTTATATAAAGGGACTATACATGCTCTCCGCCAATCCCTCGGTACTGTCCCCTCTTTCATACATTTATTAAACAAAAATGCCAAACACCCCAACACTATATCCCCCCTGCTTTAACATTTCTGTCATGATCCCGTCAGTTCCAGCTGCTTTACCCCCTTTCATTCTACGTAATGCCTCACGCACCTCCCCCACACTCACATCCTGTTCTTCTTCACTCTTAAAAGATGGTATACCTCCCTGGCCAGTGCATGAAATTAATGCTTCCCTTTCTTCGTCGACATTTAAAAGTTCCTCAAAATATTCTCGCCATCTATCCAAAACCTTCTTCTCCCCATCTACTAACTCCCCTACTGTTTTTAACTGACAAATCCATTTGTTCCCTAGGCTTTCTTAACTTGTTTAACTCACTCCAAAATTTTTTCTTATTTTCATTAAAATTTCTTGACAGTGCCTCTCCCACTCTATCATCTGCTCTCCTTTTGCACTCTCTCACCACTCTCTTCACCTTTCTTTTTCTCTCCATATACTCTACTCTTCTTATAACACTTCTGCTTTGTAAAAACCTCTCATAAGCTAACTTTTTCTCTTGTATCACACCCTTTACTTCAGTCCACCAATCACTCCTCATTCCTCCTGCACCCACCCTCCTATAACCACAAACTTCTGCCCCCACATTCTAATACTGCATTTTTAAAACTATTCCAACCCTCTTCAACCCCCCCACTACTCATACTTGCACCAGTCCGCCTTTCTGCCAATAGCTGCTTATATCTCACCCGAACTTCCTCCTCCCTTAGTTTATACACTTTTATCTCCCTCTTACTTGTTGTTGCCATTTTCCTCTTTTCCCATCTACCTCTTACTCTAACTGTAGCTACAACTAAATAATGATCCGATATATCAGTTGCCCCTCTATAAACGTGTACATCCTGGAGCCTACCTATCAACCTTTTATCCACCAAAACATAATCTAACAAACTACTTTCATTACGTGCTATATCTTGTATATTTATTTATCCTCTTCTTCATAAAATATGTATTACTTATTACCAAACCTCTTTCTACACATAGCTCAATTAAAGGCTCCCCACTTTCATTTACCCCTGGCACCCCAAATTTACCTACTTCTCCCTCCACAACGTTTTTGCCCACTTTAGCATTGAAATCCCCAACAACCATTACTCTCACACTTGGTTCAAAACTCCTCATGCATTCACTCAACATTTCCCAAAATCTCTCTCTCTCCTCTACACTTCTCTCTTCTCCAGTGCATATACGCTTACTGTAACCCACTTTTCACATCCTACCTTTATTTTACTCTACATAATCCTTGAATTAATACATTTATAGCCTCTCTTGTCCTGCCATAACTTATCCTTCAACATTATTGCTGCTCCTTCTTCAGCTCTAACTCTATTTGAAACCCCTGACCTAATCCCATTTATTCCTTTCCACTGAAACTCTCCTACCCCATTCAGCTTTGTTTCACTTAAAACCAGGACATCTAGCTTCTTCTCATTCATAACATCCACAGTCATCTCTTTCTTATCATTCACACAACATCCACGCACATTCAGACATCCCACTTTGACAATTTTCTTCTTATTCTTTTTAGTAATTATTACAGGAAAAGGGTTACTAGCCTATTGTTCCTGGTATTTTAGTTGACTTTTACAGCATGCATGGCTTACGGAGGAAAGATTCTTATTCCACTTCCCCATGGATATAAAAGGAAAAGTAATAAGACCAAGAACTATTAAGATAAAATCAAAGAAAACTCAGATGAGTGTGTATAAATAAACATGTACATGTATGTGTAGTGTGACCTAAGTGTAAGTAGAAGTAGTAGTAAATTGGGATCTACCTTCCTAATTATAGCTTTAGATGACTTGAATCAATACAGTAATCATTTACCTCCATGAATCTTTTCTCATAAATAATGCTTTGTCTTTGACTTTCTGGCTTGTACTTGTATGAAATAAAGGTCATAAACTCATTATTTAAACTGTCATATCTGGGCACCTCTGCAAAGATAGTGATTGTGTGAATGATGGTGAAAGTGTTCCTTTCTTTTTGGGTCACCCTGCCTCGTTGGGAGATGGCTGACATGTTAAAAAAGAAAAGGTTATTCATTACGTGAAGTTGATAAATAAATGTTAAACTATACTCCTCACACTGATTGGTTCAGAAATTATCTGCACTGCCTTTCATCCCTTACAAAAATGTTTCTTGTATATTCTTATGATTTTTTTAATTGGTTCTTACAAAAATATAGAAACTTTACTATTCGTTGATTATCCTGTGTGAACAAATTCAGAAAAAAAGTTGAACATTTTTAAAATATAGAGTACTTGCTTAGTTGTTCTAGCAGGAAGGATCATACATCTGCCAGTTGTAGTAAGATATGGATGAGGGAAAATATTTCAATAATTACTTACATAATGTTGTTTTATTTTATAGGATGTTGTTTTATTTTATAGGAAGTTGTTTTATTTTATAGGATGTTGTTTTATTTTATAGGTGTCCCAGGAGCAGCTTAAGAGCAATAAATCTCTGAAGGATCAACTAAAGAATGAGCTTGATGAAGTTAGAGAGAAATTGAATCAGACATTGTATGACCTTGAAAGAACTAAAAACCAGAACAAGTTTAACAGGACTATTGCTGAAGAACTGGAAGAGAAGGTACACAATAGCAAAGTAGCTTAAAACAATTAGGAATATTGTCTGAACATGCTTAGAAGAGAATTTGAGTGATACACTTGGATGTAGGGCAAGGTTTGCTTACAATGATGTAAAGGAAAATACTATACAAGGGCAAGCAAACATTGTATGCAATGTTGTATTTGGGGATAATATTTTTTACTTAGTTGAATGAAATACTAATGCAAGCTTGTATTGTGTAGCCTGAAGGAGGAAGAGGAATTTGATGATGTGAAAGATAATGAGGGAGGTGAGAAGAAAAATTATTTGGTAGGGGATGACGAGGGAGGGCCGGTCAGTGAAGAATGGAAGGTGTCCTTGGTATCTTGGTACAGAGGACATCTTCCATTCTTCATTGCGTATCTTCTTTTTATGAGTGAGAAGTCTTGGATTTCAGATGGATCTGCTTTCTTCCACTAGTCAATTCTGTCCCTTACAGCATCTTTCAAGATATTCCACCTCACTTTCGACAGTTTTTAAGACTTCGTTCTCATGCTTCAGCTTCATACTGTTCCAGACCATGGCTCTGAGGAGGTCTGAAGGTCAGACCCTCCAGGCTGAGGGTCTGACCTCCTCAAATATTCTTTCTCCAAGGTTGATGGACTGATTACATAATCTTGATTTCATTTCTACTGCTCTCTTTCTCCTCAGAGAAGGTTCCTTGATGCTGGTGAGGGGCTCTTGATCTAGGGAATTGGATCTGTGCTCCAGTTCCCTGAATTAAGCCTGAATGCCTTCCACATCCCCCCCCCCCCCCCACACACACAGGTGCTGCATGAGCCTATGGGTTTAGAGCTTTCCCCTTGATTATAATAATACTGCTCTCTTTGTATTTGACTGAAGAAGCGTACTGTGTAGGTGAAGCATTTCATCAATAAAGATACCCAGCTGTTGTACGTGTGTCTTAGTCTTCATCTTCCTGTAGCGCCTCTAGCCTTGAATAAAATTTCGCACCTATTCCGTGTGCCTCTACCTTCCTGAACAATCTCCTATGTAGAAATATCAGAGGCCTTACTGAAGTCCATATACACAGTATCATATTCACTTCCATGGTCTACCACCTCAAATACCTTAGTGAAAAAATTTTGTAAATTCACAAGGCAGGCACTTCCATTTGTAATGGATTAATTTGTCTTTCAAGGTGGCCTTGGCAGTTATTTTTTCCATCAATTTTACCAGTATCGGTTAGGCTAATTGGTCTATAATTTGAAGCTAATGACCTATCTCCTTAATAGTCCCTTGATAACAGTTCACCAGGGCTCGGTGATTTGTTCCTTTTAATCTGTTTATTTGTCTGAGAACCATGTCACTAGTCACTGATTATACATAATTTATTTTTGTCATGACATAATTTTTTATTTCTGAAATTTTTCTAGTACAGTGGAACTCCGGTTTTCATACATACTGGATATCGGATGTTTCGGATTTAGAACCCTTTTTTGGGCAAAATTTTGTTCCAGATGTCGGACCTCGATCCGGAAATCGTACGTATCAGACATGTCTGCCCACCTAGGGACGCTGTCAGTCTGTCTTTGTCACTGGTTGAGTGAGCATTTGTCCGAAATATTTCGCAGTTTTTGTGCTTTTTATTGATTGCGACTGCAAAATAAGCCACCATGGTCCCAAAGAAAGTTCCTAGTGCCAGTCTTTTGGTAAAGGGCTGAGAGAGAGAGGGGGGAATGTGCCTTATTCAGTGATTCTATGATATGTACGATACTAAAGCAGCAGGAGTCAATAAAGGCTATAGCGCCAGCCATCAATAAAGTGTAGCATTAACCCTTAAACTGTCCAAACGTAGATCTACGTTCACGTATGTAGCGCTCCGACCTTGATTTTTCTCATTTGAAAGCATGTAAAAAAAAAAGTAGCTCTACATTCGGAGCCCCCCCGCACGTGGACGTAGATCTACGTTTGGACAGTTTAGTGGTTAACAGTGTAGCAAGTAAGTTAAACAATTAAGTGACAGAAAAAGGACGACATGAAACTAACTCCTCCAATGTTGTTGGAGGTACGTATATAGGCCCACTGACAACATATGCCCCCTGTGTATCTTCCACCACCCTAAACCAATGATAGCATCTCTTCCAAGGTAAATATAAATATTTCTTATTTATAAAGTGTAAATATTTCTCATTTATAAATTAAAGTAAATATTTCTTATTTATAAATTACGTACATTGTTTCACTGTGAATGATGATGGCCTCTGCTGTCACCACCACCACCACTATATGTACAGCTTATGCTGCCATTGGCCCTGATAAACCCAACAACACCACCACCACCACTCCTCACATATGTAATGACATATTTTATTCATTCTAGAGTATATATCATGTTTCTGTTATTAATATTGTTTATTATGTTAGATGAATTGTGATAGATAAATAAGCCGTAGAGTTGATATTAACACATCATATTTAAGTATTTTGTCCTGCCTCCAAACAAACTCTTCTCCCAACAAGAGTCTTCAATAAAGGTATGTAATAATGATTTAAATGTTCATTTATCCATTTCATTAGTGCTTTATATTTATTTCTCATTGTTTTCTGTATGTAAAACTATAGTTATTCTTTAAAAAATGTATTTTTTTGTTAATTTTTTGGGTGTCTGGAACGGATCAATTGTATTTACATTATTTCTTATGGGATATACATGTATTTCTTCAATTTTCGTACGTTTCGGATTTAGAATGACCTTCTGGAACGGATTAAGTATGAAAACTATATCTTCCTGCATAAAAACAGAGGACATAAGTGTTGAAGATTGAACACATTTCTTTGTCACCAACAGTGAGCTGACCTGAGCGGTTCTTAAGATATACACTAGACATTATAAGGGGAACTTCACATTTTTTTCTTCTCGTGTATATCTTATTTTCATGTTTAACAGTTGTGTGCACTTAAGAATTCTTTGATTTTCCTCTCATTAATATCTACTTGGTTAGTTGCAAGTCACTTAGTAAAGCACTGTTGTGTGAAAGAGATAGTGATGTTTAAAATAAAAGGCCCACATATTCTTTTTTTTCTTTTTACACAAACAAATGTGCTTTGATTTTATTACCATATCTTTTAATATTTTTTATTTCTCATACTCAGGTGAGCTTACTTGAAACTGAACTTAAGGCTGCTATAGATAGGAGTAAGCAGCTTCAAGAAGAAAATAAGAAGCTGACATTTTCCTCAAATAGTTCGCAAGACGAGAGCTTTCCTGAGAGACAAACAGATCTTTCTTCATCAATTATAACAAGGTATGGAGAGTCTGTTAAGTTTCATTAGGAGTGATTGGGCTGTATGATTTGAAATGTAGATGGAAATAAGATAAAATTTACAAGGTGCTGTCAAAAAAGTTCCCAGACTTGAATTTTCACATGAACTTCTTGGGTGATGTATGGCAGTGGCATAGATCACACTGCACATTACACTCCTTTGTGAAGTAGCATGGTAAGTTTCAGTGTGGTCAGTCATTCTGTTGAGGTTAGACAGACATTATTTGTCATGTTGCACTGTTATTTTTGTGTAACAGAATGTAATCTTTGAGAGAACAGTGTATGTGTGAAGTTCTGTTTCAAACTTGGATTAGGCTTGTGACTCACAGAATGCTTCAATAAGCATTTGGCAACGAAGCAATGGGTCAAACACGTGGTTTTGGATGATTTTCTCATTTCAAAGCAAGACAAACGTCAGCTGAGGATGATAACGTTTTGGCCGTCCATCAGTGTTAAAAACATGCCAACGTTGGAAAAGTAATTAAGGTTATTCACAAAGATTCTCATCAGAGTATCCAGGACATTGCAAATGCTCATGGGTCATATCAAAGCATTTTGACTGAAAACTTGAACATGGTGAGTGGCTGCAAAATTTGTTCCTGGCCTGCTGACTCAAGACCAGAAAGACCATCACTTGGGTGTTTGTCAGGACCTCAAAAAGCAAATCAAGGATGACCTAGATATTCTTTCTAAGGTCATTATTGGTACCGTAACTTCATCTACAGCTATGAACCAGAGACGAAGCAACAGTCTTCAAAGTGGGAAAACCCCACCTCACCCAAGGCAAAAAAAAAAAGGGGGGGGGGGAACATGCCAAGTCAGGAGCATGCTCCCCTTTTTTTTTTTTTTTTTTTTTTACAAATTGGGAATCTTTCATCAGGAATTTGTTAGAGCAGGGCAGACAGTTAACTAAAGTTTTTACATTGACGTTCTGAGGTGTTTGAGGGAAGATGTGAGAGGGAAACATCTGGCTTTGTGGACATTCAGTGATTGGTTCAGTCACCATGGTCACGTAGCACTTTGTCTTTTTTTTTTTTTTTTTCTTCAAAAACATGGCAGTTGCCCCTCGCCCTCCCTACTCCCCAGATCTAGCCCCCCTGTGACCTTTCTTTCACTTTCTAAAACTAAAAATGGCACTTGAAGAGCAACATTTTAATAATGAGGAGATTCAAGCAGAATCACAGCTCTTGCTAGACAGTGTCAGAAAAGAGTTTCAGATATGTTTCATTAAGTGGCAGAGGCACTGGAAGTGTTCTTCAATGGAGAAAACTTCTGCTAGGTGATAAGGTAAGCCTATACAGGTCCACCATCACAAATCCGGCAATCAGACATCCGGTTCCATCAGTTATTCGGCACTAATTTCAGCTAGCATAATTTCAAATTTCCAGGGTCGCCACACCAACCTGCTGGTACTGTTTGGTGGTGCTACTTGCTCCATAAGTCATTCCAATTTGTTTTTCTCCATTTATTGTTATAACCTGCTTACTTTTAGCTCTAGTCATGGTTCCAACGAATAGAAGAAATGCTTCTCGTTGTGAAAAGCATCTACACAGTACATTGTCCATTATAGATAAGGTGGCTCTGAAGCCACTGTCAGTCACCATGAGCTCAGATAAGCTGTGACCGGTAAATTTGGGCCTACACATGAGGTCTGTGTGGTAAGTGTGCGCTATATAAAAAATCCTGCAGCATGCAGTGCATAATGAGAAAAAACTGCAAATGTGTTTATGGTGTAAACCCAAATTTGCAGTGTATTTTCATGTGGTATTCTCGATTTTTTGGTCTCATTTGATAGAATGGAAGATATATTACAAAAACAGATATAATTTTGATTGGTTTCACACCAGAAAGTACCTTAAAATTGAGCTCAAAGTAGTGTAAGTATTCAATTTTTGCCGGTGTTCAAGAGTAAACAAATGATGTCATCGTCTAATACGTGTCCAATTGGCAAGTATAATATGCAGTCACGAATGGATTGGTAGACAGCAACCACCCAGGGAGGTACTACCATCCTGCCAAGTGAGTGTAAAACAAAAGCCTGTAATTGTTTTACATGATGGTAGGATTGCTGGTGTCTTTTGTCTGTCTCATAAATTTGCAAGATTACAGGTACGTCTTGCTACTACTTCTTACACTTAGGTCACACTACACATACATATACACGCTTATTTATAAACACTCATCTGAGTTTTCTTTGATTGTATCTTAATAGTTCTTGTGCTCATTACTTTTCCTTTTATATCCATGGGTAAGTGGAATAAGAATCTTTGCTCCATAAGCCATGCGGTTTGTAAAAGTCACCTAAAATGCCGGGAACAATGGGCTAGTAGCCCCTTTTCCTGTAATTATTACTAAAAAGAATAAGAAGAAGAAAATTGTCAAAGTGGGATGTCTGAATGTGAGTGGATGTTGTGCAAATGGTAAGAAAGAGATGATTGTGGACGTTATGAATGAGAAGCTCGATGTCCTGCCTTTAAGTGAAACAAAGTTGAAGGGGGTGGGAGAGTTTCAGTGGAGAGAAATAAATGGGATTAGGTCAGGGGCTTCAAATAAATTTAGAGCTAAAGAAGGAGTACCAATAATGTTGAAGGATAAGCTATGGCAGGAAAAGAGGGACTATAAATGCATTAATTCAAGGATTATGTGGAGTAAAATAAAGGTTGGATGTGAAAAGTGGGCTATAGTAAGTGTATATGCACCTGGAGAAAGAGAGAAGTGTATAGGAGAGAGATTTTGGGAAATTTTGAGTGGATGCGTGGGGAGTTTTAAACCAAGTGTGAGAGTACTTGTGGTTGGGGATTTCACTGCTAAAGTGGGTAAAAATGTTGTGGAGGAAGTAGTAGGTAAATTTGGGGTGCCAAGGGTAAATGAAAATAGGGAGCCTTTAATTGAGCTATGTGTAGAAAGAGGTTTGGTAATAAGTAATACCTGGTAAAGTGTATGGTAGAGTTATAATTGAAAGAATTAAGAGTAAGACGGAAAATAGGATAGCAGATGAACAAGGAGGCTTTAGGAAAGGTAGGGGGTGTGTGGACCAGGTGTTTACAGTGAAACATATAAGTGAACAGTATTTAGATAAGGCTAAAGAGGTCTTTGTGGCATTTATGGATTTGGAAAAGGCATATGACAGGGTGGATAGAGGGGCAATGTGGCAGATGTTGCAGGTGTATGGTGTAGGAGGTAGGTTACTGAAAGCAGTGAAGAGTTTTTACGAGGATAGTGAGGCTCAAGTTAGAGTATGTAGGAAAGAGGGAAATTTTTTCCCAGTAAAAGTAGGCCTTAGACAAGGATGTGTGATGTCACCGTGGTTGTTTAATATATTTATAGATGGGGTTGTAAGAGAAGTAAATGCGAGGGTCTTGGCAAGAGGCGTGGAGTTAAAAGATAAAGAATCACACACAAAGTGGGAGTTGTCACAGTTGATCTTTGCTGATGACACTGTGCTCTTGGGAGATTCTGAAGAGAAGTTGCAGAGATTGGTGGATGAATTTGGTAGGGTGTGCAAAAGAAGAAAATTAAAGGTGAATACAGGAAAGAGTAAGGTTATGAGGATAAAAAGATTAGATGATGAAAGATTGAATATCAGATTGGAGGGAGAGAGTATGGAGGAGGTGAACGTATTCAGATATTTGGGAGTGGACGTGTCAGCAGATGGGTCTATGAAAGATGAGGTGAATCATAGAATTGATGAGGGAAAAAGAGTGAGTGGTGCACTTAGGAGTCTGTGGAGACAAAGAACTTTGTCCTTGGAGGCAAAGAGGGGAATGTATGAGAGTATAGTTTTACCAACGCTCTTATATGGGTGTGAAGCATGGGTGATGAATGTTGCAGCGAGGAGAAGGCTGGAGGCAGTGGAGATGTCGTGTCTGAGGGCAATGTGTGGTGTGAATATAATGCAGAGAATTCGTAGTTTGGAAGTTAGGAGGAGGTGCGGGATTACCAAAACTGTTGTCCACAGGGCTGAGGAAGGGTTGTTGAGGTGGTTTGGACATGTAGAGAGAATGGAGCGAAACAGAATGACTTCAAGAGTGTATCAGTCTGTAGTGGAAGTAAGGCGGGGTAGGGGTCGGCCTAGGAAAGGTTGGAGGGAGGGGGTAAAGGAGGTTTTGTGTGCGAGGGGCTTGGACTTCCAGCAGGCATGCGTGAGCGTGTTTGATAGGAGTGAATGGAGACAAATGGTTTTTAATACTTGACGTGCTGTTGGAGTGTGAGCAAAGTAACATTTATGAAGGGATTCAGGGAAACCGGCAGGCCGGACTTGAGTCCTGGAGATGGGAAGTACAGTGCCTGCACTCTGAAGGAGGGGTGTTAATGTTGCAGTTTAAAAACTGTAGTGTAAAGCACCCTTCTGGCAAGACAGTGATGGAGTGAATGATGGTGAAAGTTTTTCTTTTTCGGGCCACCCTGCCTTGGTGGGAATCGGCCAGTGTGATAATAAAAAAAATAATTTTAAGAAGAGGATAAATAAATATTCAAGGTATGATATAGCACGTAATGAAAGTAGTTTGTTAGATTATGTATTGGTGGATAAAAGGTTGATGGGTAGGCTCCAGGATGTACATGTTTATAGAGGGGCAACTGATATATCGGATCATTATCTAGTTGTAGCTACAGTTAGAGTAAGAGGTAGATGGGACAAAAGGAAAATGGCAACAACAAATAAAAGAGAGGTGAAAGTGTATAAACTAAGGGAGGAGGAAGTTCAGGTGAGATATAAGCAACTATTGGCAGAAAGGTGGACTAGTTCAAGTATGAGTAGTGAGGGGTTTGAAGAGGGTTGGAATAGTCTTTAAAATGCAGTATTAGAATGTGGGGCAAAAGTTTGTGATTATAGGAGGGTGGGTACAGGAGGAAAGAGGAGTGAATAGTAGAATGAAGAAGTAAAGGGTGTGATAAAAGAGAAAAAGTTAGCTTATGAGAGGTTTCTACAAAGCAGAAGTGTTATAAGAAGAGCAGAGCATATGGAGAGTAAAAGAATGGTGAGAGTGCCAAAGGAGAGCAGATGATAGAGTGGGAGAGGCACTGTCAAGAAATTTTAATGAAAATAAGAAAAATTTTTGGAGTTAAACAAGTTAAGAAAGCCTAGGGAACGAATGGATTTGTCAGTTAAAAACAGAGTAGGGGAGTTAGTAGATGGGGAGATGGAGGTACGTATTGGATAGATGGCGGGAATATTTCGAGGAACTTAAATGTCAACGAAGAAAGGGAGGCGGTAATTTCATGCACTGGTCAGGGAGGTATACCATCTATTAGGAGTGAAGAAGAGCAGGATGTGAGTGTGGGGAAGGCGCGTGAGGCATTACGTAGAATGACAGGGAGTAAAGCAGCTGGAAATGACGGGATCATGACAGAAATGTTAAAAGCAGGGGGGATATAGTGTTAGAGTGGTTGGTATTTTTGTTTAATTTATGTATGAAAGAGGGGAAGGTGCCTAGAGATTGGCAGAGAGCATGTATAGTTCCTTTTTATAAAGGGAAGGGGGACAAAAGATATTGTAAAAGTATAGAGGAATTAGTTTACTAAGTATACCAGGAAAAGTGTACGGTTGGGTTATTATTGAAAGAATTAGAGATAAGACAGAATGTAGGATTGCGGATGAGCAAGGAGGTTTTCGAGTCGGTAGGGGATGTGTAGGTCAAGTGTTTACATTGAAGCATATATGTGAACAGTATAAGATAAAGGTAGGGAAGTTTTCATTGTATTTATGGATGTAGAAAAGGCTTATGATAGAGTGGATAGGCAAGCAATGTGGCAGATGTTGCAAGTATATGGAATAAGTAGTAAGCTACTAACTGCTGTAAAGAGTTTTTATGAGGATAGTGAGGCTCAGGTTAGGGTGTGTAGAAGAGAGGGAGACTACTCCCCGGTAAAAGTAGGTCTTAGACAGGGATGTGTAATGTCACCATGGTTGTTTAATATATTTATAGATGGGGTTGTAAAAGAACTAAATGCTAGAGCATTTGGGAGAGGGGTGGGATTAAATTATGAGGAATCAAATACAAAATGGAAATTGACACAGTTACTTTTTGCTGATGTTACTGTGCTTATGAGAGATTCTAAAGAAAAATTGCAAAGGTTAGTGGACGAGTTTGGGAGTGTGTGTAAAGGTAGAAAGTTGAAAGTGAACGTAGAAAAGAGTAAGGTGATGAGGGTATCAAATGATTTAGATAAAGAAAACTTGGATATCAAATTGGAGAGGAGTATGGTGGAAGAAGTGAACGTTTTTCAGATATTTGGGAGTTGACGTGTCAGCGGATGGATTTATGAAGGATGAGGTTAATCATAGAATTGATGAAGGAATAAAGGTGAGTGGTGCGTTGAGGTTTATGTGGAGATGAAAAAGCGTTATCTATGTATCGAAATTAGGAGAAGGTGTGAAGTTAATGAAAGTATTAGTCAGAGGGCTGAAGAAGGGTTGTTTAGGTGGTTTGGTCATTTAGAGAATGGATCCAAGTAGAGTGACATGGACAACATATAAATCTGTAGGGAAATGAAGGCGGGGTAGGGGTTGTCCTTGAAAAGGTTGGAGGGAGGGGGTAAAGGAGGTTTTGTGGGCGAGTGGCTTGGACTTCCAGCAAGCGTGCGTGAGCATGTTAAATAGGAGTGAATGGAGACGAATGGTATTTGGGACCTGACGAGCTGTTGGAGTGTGAGCAGGGTAATATTTAGTGAAGGGACTCAGGGAAACTGGTTATTTTTATATAGCCGGATTGAGTCCTGGAAATTGGAAGTACAGTGCCTGCACTTTAAAGGAGGGGTTTGGGATATTGGCAGTTTGGAGGTATATATTGTGTATTTTTATACGTATATGCTTCTAAACTGTTGTATTCTGAGCACCTCTGCAAAAACAATGATTAAGTGTGAGTGAGATGAAAGTGTTGAATGATGAAAGTATTTTCTTTTTGGGGATTTTCTTTATTTTTGGGTCACCCTGCCTCGGTGGGAGACGGCCAACCTGTTAAAAAAAAAAATGCTATATGGGTTTTATTTAACACATCGGTAATGAGGTAATGAGGATTCTAGCATATAACATTAAGGGGACAGAGTCAGTGTTTTAATGGTTGGGAGGATTACAGATATTGAGAATAAGATTATATTCTTTTATATATGTTTGTGACATTGAGAATGTGAGCATATTGAATAGCTGAAACCATATTGGATATACTGTACATATTCTGAATGGCTTTTGGGACCTGATGAGCTGTTGGAGTATGAGCAGGGTAATATTTTGTGAAGGGATTCTGAGAAACCGGTTAGCCGGACTCGAGTCCTGAAAGTGTTAAGTACAATGACTGCACTTTAACCCTTTGACTGTTTCGGTCAACCCTTTGACTGTTTCGGTCATATATATATGCCTTACGAGCCACCGTATCTTTCTTTCAACACACCGGCCGTATCCCACCGAGGCAGGGTGGCCCAAAATCAAAAACGAAAGTTTCTCCTTTTACATTTAGTAATATATACTGGAGAGGGGTTACTAGCCCTTTGCTCCTGGCATTTTAGTTGCCTCATACAACACACATGGCTTACGTAGGAAGAATTCTTTTCCACTTCCCCATGGAGGTAAGAGAAAATAAACAAGAACAAGAACTAGTAAGAAAATAGAAGAAAACCCAGAGGGGTGTATATATATATATGTTTGTACATGTATGTGTAGTGTGACCTAAGTGTAAATAGAAGTAGCAAGACGTCCCTGAAACCTTGCATGTTTATGAGACAGAAAAATGGATACCAGCAATCTTGCCATCATGTAAAACAATTACAGGCTTTCGTATCACACTCGCTTGGCAGGACGGTAGTACCCCCCTGGGTGGTTGCTGTCTACCAACCTACTACCTAAAATATATACTCATATGTACTCATAAATTCTAGCGGCTTCAAATCAAGCATGAGAAAGCTTGTAGGCCCACATGTGAGAGAATGGGTCTGTGTGGTCGGTGTGCACCTTATAAAAAAAAATCCTGCAGCACCCAGTGCATAATGATAAAAAAAAAACTCCTACTTTTTTTTTAATGCCGAGTTTGTGGTTTATTTTCGTATAGTATTTATGGTTGTATTCTCGTTTTCTTGGTCTCATTTGATAGAATGGAAAACATATTATAGAAATAGAGGTGATTTTGATTGGTTTTACTATGAAATGGAGCTCAAAGTAGGGAAAATGTTTGATTTTTGCCGATGTTCAAAAGTAAACAAATGATGTCATTTTCCAATAAATGTCCAAGTAGCCATTCTAATATGCAGTCATGAATGGATTGACATTATTTATACAATTATTACAATATTGCAGTAGTCAGCATAACAATAAATCTTCTATTTTTTGTTTGAATAAAAATTCAAAATAGAAAGCAAGAGTAATATCAGAGGGGCCTGGAGATGTGGCTGATGAACAAAGAAAATGTTATTTTAGAGCCAGGAATGTCTGCATTGTTCATTCTGGACCATATTTTGAAATTGTCATACGTATTTTTTAATTTTTCGTGAAATTGGCCAAATTGCAAATTTCTGACCACATTATTGGGTAGTTGACATCGGTAAATGGGCAGTTTCTTGTACTCAATCGATAGAAAAAATGGAGTTCTAAAGAAATAGCTATGAGTTTGGTCGACTAGAACAATGCAATTAGCCAAAAATAGGGCTCAAAGTGGGCGAAATCGCCCATTAATAAATATCGCCAAGGTCGCTAACTTCGGAAGAGCGTAATTCCGACAGTTTTCCATCAAATTTTGTTCTTTTGGTGTCATTGCAATTGGGAAAAGACTCGGTGGGAGACGGCCGACTTGTTGAATTTTTTTTTTTTTTTTTTTTTTCTCCAGAAATTTTGCAACACCAGGAGACACCGCAGGATTTGGGGTTGCAACAGTCAAGGGGTTAAAGGATGGTTTGGGATATTGGCTGTTTGGAGGGACATCTAAACTGTCTTATCTGAGCACGTCTGCAATGACTTTGATTATGTATGAATGATGGCGAAAGTGTTGAATGATGAAGGTTGTTTTTTTTTTTTTTTTTTTTTTTTTTTTTTTTTTTTTTTTTTTTTTTTTTTTTTTTTTTTTTAGTCACCCCACCTCGGTGGGAAACAGCCGACGTGTTAAAAAAAAAAAATCAGACAGGAGTTTGATAGCAGATGGAACACCTATTAAGATAATACATTTTCAAATATCCTTTTTTTCCTCAGATTACAGGAGGAGCGGAATAATCTTCAAGAGAAGTACAACTGTCTGAAGGAACAACTAGGGAAGATGTTTGAGAAACAAGAAAATTTCAATATGGAATTTGAGGAGAGCAACAATAAGTCTGAGGAACTAGCTTTCTTAAATGAAGAACTTAGTTCAAAGAATGATGAATTAGCCTCCAAGAATGATCTGCTCATCAGCAAGAATGAGGAGCTGACAGTTATGCTTGATGAATTAAAGAATGAAGTCACTGAACTCATGGGTCAAAATAATGTCCTCAAATCTAACACGGAAACTCTGAATAAAAAGGAAGAAGAGCTCTTAAAGGAAAATGAAGACCTCTTAGCTCTTAAGCAAGACTTAGACACCCAGATTCAGACAACATCCCAGAAATTAGAGGAAGTGATGTCAGGAAATAAAACACTCATTTCAAGGAACACAGACATAGTGCTACAGAATGAAATGCTTATTGCTGAAAACCAACACTTAAAGACTTCACTTGCAACTAACAGTGAGGATTTAAAAGAACTAGAACAGTTAAAGAAAAACATTCAAATCCTAGAGAAGGAGCTGGAACTTAAGGTTCATCAAATTGATACAAGATGTACAGAGCTTGCTACTCAAGTTGAAGTACTGAAAGCTGAAAAGGAAGAATTAGTCTCTTCATATGGAGTTGTGTCCTCTGAAAAGAAAGAGCTATTGACTGCTTCACAAGAACTAACAGTAAACTACAATGCCATTGTTGCTCAGAGTGATCAAATTTTAAAAGAAAACCTGGAATTATGCTCAGAAAAAGAGAGGTTGCAATCAGAAATGAATGCCATCTTGAAGGATAAGATAGAATTACTTTCAGAAAAAGAAAAATTACAGTCACAACTGAAACACTTGGAAAAGGAAAGAGATCAATTGTGTATGGAAAAGGAAGCATTATTGACCCAGAAAGATGAGCTAAAACTTGAGAGAGACTTAGCATTGAATGATGAGGTTGAAATATCTAAACAGAAAAGTTTAGAAGCAAAGATAAAGGAATTTGAGAAAGAGAATGATGAACTCATTTCTGAGAAGGAGACATTAGTAAAACAAAATGAAGATTTGTTGTCAGAAAAAAGTGTGATGTTGAATGAAAAGATGCTTTTATTATCAGAGAAGAAAGAACTACAAGCTGAGAAAGAAATGATTGTAAAAGAAAATAATAAACTGCTCTCTGATAAAGAAGCTTTGCAAATGGAGAAACAAGAATTGTTAGAACAGAAAAATATTATTCTCAGTGATAAACAGCAATTATCATCTACAAATGCACAACTACATTCAGAGAATGCAAAAATTTTGAAAGAAAAAGAAGTAATGCTCTCAGAGAGAGAGATACTGGTAAGAGAAAAAGATGAGATTCTGAAAAATGTTGAGGATATGGCCTCTGAAAAGAACATTATGATCTTGGAGCAACAAAAACTGGAAGGTGAAATGATGAGCATGAGAGGAGAAAATGAGCAAATCAAAATAAATATGGGAAAACTTAAAATCAAAGTTGAAGAGAATGAACTGGATATTGAAGGTCTTCATGCTACTATTAAAAATCTGATATCTTTAAAGGAAAGCCTAGTTTTGGAAAAAGATCAACTTAATAAAATAAATGAACAACAAATACAGAAGATGGAAAAACTGACAACAGAGTTATCTACCCTGCAGGACCAGATTACAAACAATTCCTCCCAGAATGAGAATTTGTTATCTCAGTTAACCCAGCATGTTGCAGATAAACAGTTAATGAACTCTGAAATTGAGCATTTGAAGTCTAAAGCAGAAGACTGGCTTATAAAGAAAGATCAGCTTACAGAAATTAGTGAACAACAACAGGAAGAAATTGACAAATTAACTTCAGATATATCTGCTCTACAGAGTCAGATAACAAATCTTTCTTCCCAGAACGAGACTTTATCATCTCGGTGTGCCCAACATAATACAGATAAGAAACTAATAGACTCAGAAATTGAACAGTTGAAGTCTAACATAAAAGACTTGCTTACAGAAAAAGATCATTTTTTGAAAATAAATAAACAGCAATGTGAAGAAATGGAGAAATTGACAAGAGAGAGAACTGAGCTACAGGAAGAGAGAAAAAATATTTTCTCCCTGAATGAAACGTTGTCATCTCAAATTACCCAACATGATACAGAGAAGAAACTGCTGCATGACAAAATTGATCTTTTGAAATCTAACATGAAAGGTTTGACTGAAGAAAAAGATAAATTTGCTCAAGATTTGGAAGATGCAAGAACGTGCTGCAAATCATTCGAGGATGACAATGAGACCCAGAGGAAAACCCTAGAGAGCCAGAAGATAGAAATTGAAAGCCTGCAAAATGTCATAGGCAGTCTTAAACAACAACAGCTAAAGCAGGATGAGGCAATTGAGACACTGAAAAAGAGCTTGACTCTGAAGGTAGAAGAAGTTGTTGAGGTAAGCAAGGAGCTTGCCAGGGTGAAGGAAGAGCTTCATGTAGTACAAGGGGATCTGCAAGTTTCCAGGGAAAATCTTTCCAACAAGTTGAAAGAGGTAAGTGTTTTTTATTTTATGCTATAGGTGCACATGTAAAAGATAGGGATGCAATCTGGAACTTTGCAAATTCCACATTGACTAAAGTGTAACCAAAGTAATATGAGCTTACTGCATGTATCAAATGGTCATTTACAAAAATTAAATTATTCTTTTAACCCACTTGTCATATCTCACCAAGGTAAGGTGGCCCAAAAAGAAAAACATAAGTTTCTCTTTTTAACTTTACTAATATATACAGGAGCAGGGGTTACTAGCCCGTTGCTCTCGGCATTTTAGTCACCTCTTACGACGCACACAGCCTACAGGGGAAAGACCTTTGTTCCGCTTTCCCATGAAGATTTTAAATTAGCTATAGTTATTAAAAAGAACATTGAGCGTACAATGACAGTTTCTTTTCTTGTTACAAGGATTTCTGCATAGTTGCTTTTGTGCTTGCATGTATGATATAGTTTACATAAGCAAGGGTAAGGCAGCTTGACTCTCTCTTTGAAAGTAAGACAATGTGAACTTCCCAAAGAATAGCCCAAGAATACATAAGTACAAGCTAAAATGAAGAATCAGTTGTAAACAAAGGAAAGGAAATGTTGTAAAACAAAATTCGTTTTAAAGGACAGTAAAGGATGTGTAATTGAGTCAAGGTGGTTACAACATAAATTTTGAAAATTTACCCTCGTTTACATTTTTTCATTATGTAGTTTTAAATACTGTATATATAATTTTAGGGTCTTTTAGGTATTATACTGTAAACATTCTGTATATGCTAACACTGTAATAAAAGCTGCATTTAGTCTGATGTATCTTGTCACTTTTGATCTGTAAACTTACTCTATTAATATTATAGGCAACAAACTTAATGATGGAAAAGGCTTCAATGGAAGTAGAAATGGCAAGTCTTAAAGACAAGATTTCATCTGTCACAGAAATGGAAAAATGTCTTATTACTAAAGAAGCAGAAGTAAGTGACATACCATAAAGTTTTTTAAATGTACTCAAATAACTGTCTTGCTAGAAGAGCATAGACATCACAATTCCAATGACTAACTATACTGCAATGTCCCTGCCCATCCTTCAGAGTACAGTCACTACTTTTTTTATTGTCAGGTTTTACTAAATGGTTCATCATTAAGTCCAAGGCTGCTAATGTGTTCAATCTGATTTTTTTTTTTTTAAATTAAATGAAGTATTCAAACAATTTAACATATCATTTTTATTGTATGATCATCCTCTGGATACGTCTTCAGTAATTATAACTTTGCCGACTAAGGTAGTTCCCAGTCCTAGAAATTGAAGAGCACCATAATGTCAGTGTTCATCCTTTACTTCAAACTTATTTCCATTTTCTTAAGAGATATAATTTGAGGCTGTTTATGTCAGATTAATATTGTACTGGTTATTGAAACTTGTGTAACATCAGTCTTTATCTACCTTCTGATCAGATTGAAGAGCTGAGCAATCTTGTGAAGGAGTCACGCACTGACTTAGCGACACTACGAGCAAAGTTCTCTCTTAATCAGAAAATTAGTAGGAAGAAAGAAGAGGAACTGAGGGAATATATGAAGCATATTGATGATATGAAAGAGGAGGCAAACCAATTAAAGCAACAGGTTTGTATTAATTGTTATTATATTCATAGGAAGCTCTAAACCCACAAGGGTTGTACAGTGCCTGAGGAAGGGGATGCAATCAGGTTTAATACAAGGAATGAAAGGGTGGTACCAATTCCTTTGATCAAGAGCCCTTCACCTGCATCAGCACTCCTTACAGGAAAATTTGAAATTTTATTAAGACTAGAATAGGCCAAGACATGAAGCTAGATACTCATAAGATACCTCAAAATGTATATGAATTATTTTGATGGTGTGTAACTTATGACTAAAAGCCTCATTGGTGAGAAATTGAGTATTGTGATGATAGGCACCCAGGGATTATAGTGCTTCATGTAAATAATACTGTACTGTTAATAATTTAACTCTTTCAGTGACCATCGCATAGAACTATGTCATAGAGGTCAGGGTTTGGCACGTAGCTCTGCATCATGAATTTAGTTCACTTGGATCTTTTTTTTTTTTTTTTTAACAAACCAGCCATATCCTGCTGAGGCAGGGTGACCTAAAAAAATAAATGAAAGTTTCTCTTTTTAAATTTAGTAATTTATGCAGGAGAAGGGGTTACTAGACCCTTGCTCCCGACATTGTAGATGCCTCTTATGACACTCATGGCTTACAGAGGAAGAATTCTGTTCCACTTCCCCATGGAGATGAGTGGAAATAAACAAGAAGAACTAGTAAGAAAAATAGAAGAAAACCCAAAAGGGTGTATATATATATGTTGTACATGCATGTGTAGTGTGAGCGAAATGTACCTGGAATCTTGCATGTTTATGAGACAAAAAAAAAAGGCAGCAGCAATCCTGCCTTCAGATAAAATTACAGGTTTCTGTTGTATACTCACTTGGCAGGAAGGTAGTACTTCCCTGGGTGGTTGCTGTCAACCAACCTACTACCTAGGACTTGGATAAGATGGGAACTGTAAATTTTGGCTTAGATACAGGTGCATACATTTGTACAGTGAGTGTACACAGTATAAAAAAAATACTGCCTCAAGCAGTATATGATGGGAAAAACAAAGTTTACTTGTGCTTGGTTTTAAATATTGATTTTGAGGTGTTTTCTAGGATGGCTTTTATGGTTTTATTGGCTGCTTCTTGGTATCATTTGCTAGAATAGAAGACATAGTATCAAAATAGAGATGATATTGGTTGGTTCCAGGAATGGCAGTAGCTTGAAATCGGCCTCAAGTTATTGGAAGTACAGTGGACCCCCGCTTTACGATCAGCTCCGAATGCGACCAATTATGTAAGTGCGTTTGTACGTGTATGTTTGGGGGTCTGAAATGGACTAATCTAATTCACAATATTCCTTATGGGAACAAATTCGTTCAGTAATGGCACCTGAACATACTTCTGGAATGAAATAATATCGTAAACCGGGGGTCCACTGTATTAGATTTTGGTCGATTTTTCTGAGGACAGGCAAGGTTTCTCCCAAACCCCATTCCATCTCCTGGTCTGTTTTATAGGTTTTTACTAGGTCTGTTCAATTAGTTGGATGCCATAAACCATGACCAATAATTTATTCCTGGTAACAGGTTAAATTTTTTGTTTTTGTGTGACGTATTTGAAGTGGAAGGCAAGTGTAATAGAGGGGAGGCCTGGAAGTGTGATTAATAAACAGATAAAATGTTGTTTATTTTGGACTCAAATTTTAAACTGAATTTTTTTAATTTTGCCAAAAATTAGCCAATTCACTGAATTTGTGAAATTTATAGGGTAGTTTTATTAACAGTGTAGCAAAGAATTTGGTTGAATTGAGCAATGGAATTGGCTTAAACTACAGTCATGCACCACCATATATACTACAATGTTCCCATGAGATTAAGATGGAGCTGAAAATTCTTATTGTCAGATGTATAAAAGTACAGTAGATCCTCATTTTTCGTAAGCATTGGCCCCAACGTGGCCACAGTCAGTGTCCCATTGTTTATCAGCAAGTGAGCACGATCCTACATGTTCATACAATACATTTCATAATATTCCATTTGTTTTAGTGCTTGCAACTGCTGTTATTGCTGTTTTACTGCTGAACAGCGGTTTAGTGCCGATGAAGGTAGCATAGGTAGCAATGATACGGCCGTGGACTAGTTTGGCTTTAATTGGATAGGAGTGAGTACACAACGGGCAGTGTGAGGGAGTGACCGCAAGCCAGTCCGTGGAGGGGAAGCACTTGTGTCTATCAAGTCGGTCGGCCTAGGAGTGAGGGCGGATGGGCTCAGCTTCCCACTGACCTGAGTGAGCCTACAGAGGGCAGCACCTAAATGCCGTGAAATATGAACTAGTCAGAGCAGACGGCTAGGCTGTGTGTTCTGACAGTACAGGCTGTCTACATTTGCTCGGCCACGCACCTCGCGTCGTCCTGACGCGACAATACTGGTGGGCCCGCAGGTATAAAGGAATTACTTACACTAGCTACCCCAGAGAGGGACTGGTTTTCGCTCACTAGTAAATCAAAATTGGACATAAAAATGCAACAGGCAAAAAAAAAAACTCCCATCCAGGGGAAGAGAAAACTGGTTTGCCCGCGCTGTTTCATCGAGGAGAGAGTCCGGAGACGTCAGCACTGGAACTAAAATCTTCTATATACAGGTTGTCCGCAGGGCTGAACATCAGTTGACCACTCGTCTACGAACGTTGTTGCACCCTCACATCTGCAAACAATGACTGACAGTAGCATTTCCTAAGGTGTGACATGTGACTCAGAGGGCAGCACTGCCCTGACCGTAATACAGGCTCTTTTTTTTTTATATAAAAACACTGGGTGCACATACCTACAATAATACTATATCCATGGAATTCATTACACTCTGGGTACCCTTCTAAAAGTATTTACATAATTACATGATGTTGTCCACTCTGACTCCATTATCGACTAGCTATACAATGTGTGCGCATTTATACCCATTTCTGCAAGCAAACAATTAGCATAACTAGCGTAGGAGTCAGACAAGTCAGTAGGTACGTCAATGTCACAGAAATGTACTGTTGTCCTGGGTCGCAGGCCATAAGTATGGAGCCTTACTGGGCCGTCTTCCGTAACAGTAGTAGTGGGAGAAGGGATAGACGGGTTGTCCCTAGCATTGGTCTGATTGTGGCGTTGCAACGCACGTGACTCCAGCTCTGCTTCAGCCTGCACATGGTCCACATACTTCATGTGATCAAGGTGGGCTTCCTTGATAGTTCCCGTAGCAATCTCCCTCACCTCGAACTTATTGCCACGGAGCTGTCGTAGGACACGGTAAGGACCCACAAATTTTGGGACAAGTTTGTGCATACCTGGGGTCTGCACTGGGTTGAGCAACATAACTTTGCAACCTGGTTCCACTTTGCTTTCCTTGGCGCGGGCATTGCGCTCAGACGTGAACCTATCAGTAGCTTTCATAAGGTTCTCTCGTACCCACTGGAAGACAAGCTGCGTTGTCCGCATCTTTACTACACTGGGGTTATCAGTATCATAAGTAGGTCTAGGTGGAGCAAACAGAATTTCATATGGTAAGCGCTTGTCATAGCCATACAAAGCAAAATGAGGTGTCTCACCGATCGAGCTGTTGAGGGAGGAATTTAATGTACACAGAACATCTGGGGTAGCCTCATCCCATGTAGTACAACTTGGGTTAACGGTTACCCTGAGCACCTCCAGGACTTTGCGATTTGTACGTTCAGCAAGACCATTACTCGCAGGGTGGCGTGGAGCTACTGGCGCTTGGTGAATGTTGAATCTGGAGCAAAGATCCTGCATTATGCCATTTATAAACTCAGACCCATTGTCTGACAGAAGGACACGTGGGCAAGTATGACGAAGAACAACATGCTCACGGAAAGCACTAGCGACCGTTTCGACGGTTTTATCAGGAATGGGTACTAATTCACTGTACCACGTCAAGTTATCTACCATTACAAGCAGGTGCTTATTTCCCTTCTCCGAGGTTGAGAAGTTCATCAGCAGGTCGACAGAAGTTCTCTCCCAGGGCTCCTTTGTAATGGGATACTTTAGAATGGGGTTAGGATCTGTAATGGTACCCTTGTGCTGTAGGCAAACAACACACTGGTGTACATGCTTGGCAATGTCCACTGCCATCTCAGGCCAGAAATATTTCATTTGTGCCTGTTTGATACTGTGGTCCTTCCCGGGGTGCGCTACACCTGGGACATCGTGGATCAACCTAAGAGTAGCTGGTATCATGGACTCTGGTATCACGGACTCTGGTATCACCAGTTGGTATATGGTTCTGCCGGGGTCCACCAGCTGTGCAACACGGCACAGTACTCCTTGGTTGACCACTAAATCCTTCAGTGGAACGGGAGACTTGACCTGTAAGTCAACGTCCTCCTTGGTCAGGAAACGAAGGACTGGAGACCACACAGGGTCCTGTCGTTGGGCTCTCTCGAGATCCTCAACAGAGAATGAGTTGCCGACACTCACGAATGCTATATGCCTCGACAGGGCATCAGCTACAACATTTTGCTTACCTGGGACATAGCAAATTTCAGGGTTGTAGTCATTGAACGTGAGCGACCACCGAGCATGCTTTCCCGAGAGGTTCTTATTCACAAAAAGGGCCAATAAGGGTAAATGATCTGTGTAAATCTTGATAGGATAATGATAGATGATATCCCAAAAATGACTCAGGGCCCATACAATGGCTAAAGCTTCTAGCTCTGTCACTGAATAATTGACTTCCGCTTTAGTAAGGACACGGCTAGCATAGGCAATAGGCTGTTGCTTACCATTAGATTCCTGTGACAAGACTGCACCGATGCCAACTTTGCTGGCATCAGTCGTCAAGGTAAATGCCTTGGTGAAATCAGGGAATCTAAGGGTTGGGGCTGATGTTAACTTGTTCTTAAGAATGACAAAAGCTCGTTCCTGATCACACGTCCACTCAAAAGGGGTATCCTTCTTGAGTAAGCGTGTCAGGGGTGCAGCAATGGTGGAGAAACCTGCGATAAAGGTGCGGTAGAAACCCGCCAGGCCTATGAAGGACCGGACTG